TTAATTTTTTTTTTAATGTTTTATACAAAAATTAGTTAGTTGTATGTATTAGTCAGGCCACACTGTACATATAATATTTGTTTAGCTAAAGTCAGTTTCATATTACCCCACTTAAGTAATTCTCAGGGTATTCTAAAAGAAAAAAAAAGCCGGAAAATAAAAGCATTTGGCAACCGCTTTCAATATGATTAGGAAGTCTTCATATTTCGATGCTGTGGGCAGCAGAAAGTAGGCGACAAGTGCCACCATCATTATGATTTTGATGATCATCATCATCATCATCGTCATCGTCATCAGAGCAAGACCGCAATCAAGCAATGCCACCCACAGCATTTGTTACTCAGACACAAGGAAAAAAAAAAAAAAAAAAATAGAAGAGTTTGGCAACTGCTAGAGCAACAAAATGAAATAATTCATATTCATATTCCATATTCTTATTCATATTCATTCTTTTATAAAAACAAGTCAAGTCCATTGATGCGTCTGCTCGCAGACGAATATTTAAATTAATCTGTTCGAAAATATCATTAAACTGTCACTGCGAATGGGGCACTCAAAAGAATTATCACTAGTTAATATGAGTTATGCATAGAGCATTTCGGTTTTGGAATTTTTGGATTATTCAAAAAGAACATAGATCACAAAATATTAGATAAATGAGCTATACAATATACATATGTATATAGTGTGATGAAAAATAAAAAAATTAAATACAATGTAAAATATGTATCATAAAATACTTAAATTGAATTTTAAGTAAATTATTATATCATTTCTGATTATTAAAATTTTTCAAATGTTTTTATTTGTTGTATTTATTATGAATTTTGTATATATATATAAATATTTTAATTACTATAATTCGTAAATTTGTTACTAAAAAAAAATAATAAAAAAAAAAAATAAAAAAATTGAATTATATTGTATAAAACAATATAAACAAAATAATTCTTTAAAATACTTTTTTTTTTTAATTTTTTAAACATAAATACTTAAGAAAAGGCAATAAATTCTCAAATATAATTTAAGCTCTGTTTAATTCAATTTAGGTTACTAATTTATAGACCTAATGCCAAGCATTGGTATAAATAAATAAAATTAAATAAAAGAGAAAATTCGCTTAAGCATTTGTTGCCACAAACATGCATCCATAAATAAAAAGAGAACTACAAATAAAATAATACAAGCGAGTAAATAAGGATTAGCACAAAGATTTAGTGGCAGCTCGAGTAATATATGGGGCGTTTGTCTATATATACAGACGGCCCTCTGTTTATTTCGCTGCTTTGGATAGATGCTGCAGGAAGTCCTTTAGCAAGCATTGATGATATGTTTATGTATATTCGCAGCTTTGTTAAGGAAACACAACCAATTTAGATCGATGGGCAGGCCAAGCATCGAATCGAAGCATGTCCAGACGACAGCCCGAGAGTTGCCAACGAGCCGCTAATCGAGGCAAAGTCCAATTGGATCTCGATTTCGATTTCGATTCGGATACGGCTACGGACTTGGATGTTTTGGTGTGGAGGAGGCCATCATTATGTCGTCGCGGCGCAGCTCCTTTCGCCGCAAGCCCGCAGAGAAGCCGGCATTTGAGCGTTTCAAGGACCATTGCCGTCACTTCACGGCATTTATGTTCAGCAATGTTGGCATCATACTTCTAGTCACGTTTTATACCATTGGCGGCGCCTTCATCTTTCAGACAATCGAAATTTTCGAATACGAAAAACTCAAGACGAAAAACCTAATCAAGCCCAATGCGACGGCTGAGTGCCTCAACAGCATCTGGAAGCTGACGTCTGAGAACATCAGTTTCTACGATCGACAAGCCTACAGAAATAGGTAAACTTAATAATGAATATACATGATATGCTATATTATTTGCTTCCCTCCTCTCCAGTGTCAACGAAGTGCTGCTAAAGTATCAACAAGCTGTGTATAAGAAACAGATCAAGGGCCCCGATGTTGATCACCAGTGGAGCTTCTCGGGCGCATTTCTCTACTCGCTAACTGTCATCACGACCATTGGCTATGGCAACATAACCCCCAGCTCCGATTGGGGCAAGCTGGTGACAATACTCTATGCGATCATCGGCATGCCACTCTTCCTGCTCTATCTCTCTAATATAGGTATGAATATTGCCATAGGCAAACTGTTATGGCTATGTTATAGTTATGTTATGGTCATGTTATGGGTAGGCTAATATGAGTATTGGGTATTTAATTATTATTAATATTACTACAACTATTTCAGGTGATGTGCTGGCCAAATCCTTTAAATGGATCTACTCCAAGGTCTGTCTCTGTCGCATTTGCCCAGGCGTAGCCAAGCGGCGCATAATACGCGAGCGACGCAAACTTCGTCAGCTGGCTCGAGCGGTACGTGGATAGTATATACATATATAGTATATGCTCCCTATATCCCCCCAATTCTATGCCCACTTCAGTTGCAGTTGCACAACATGGAAAGCGCACGTGGCGGCAGCAGCAGCAGCAACAGCTACTCCAGCAACAGCAACAGCAACAGCAGCTCGATTAGCAGCAGCACCAGCAGCAGTGCCTATACCAAGAGCTCCATGCAGACCTCCAGTGTGCTGGATGTGCCGTACTCCGACTCAGATTCAGATATTGAGCGCGAAATACGCGGCAGCACGGATGAAATAACTGTTCCCCTAACTGTCTGTGTCTTTGTTATGGTCAGGTGGGCAACGAAAGCGAAAATTGCGATATTTCGATTGCATTAATGCAGCTATACAATTTACAGCTATATACTATCGGGTGCCATACTCTTTGGGCGCTGGGAGGATTGGAATTATCTGGACGGCAGCTATTTCTGTTTCATCTCATTGAGCAGCATTGGATTCGGTGACTTGGTGCCGGGCGATCGTGTGGTATGCAATGCAAATGAATTGAATAGACAGTTGCTATGGCACAGATATTATGTACTCCTAATCAGTAGCAAGAGCTAAGTTGAAGGAAGCTATTTAGAAAATGCTAGGCATAGTTATAATTTATAGATCGAGATATGAAGTCTGATCAATTTGATTTGATGAGGACAAGATTTTAATCTTTGAAAGGGCGAAGGGCTTATGATAACATATGATGATAAATATAATTCATCAATTCTTAGCAATATATGCAAATAGATAGTTTTGCTGACTGTACCTATATTTAAATCTATATCTTTATATCTGTTCACGCTTTTGTATTCACTATTTTTTAGATAACCGCCGATAAAGACAAAGTCGAGTTGAGCTTCATTTTATGTGCCGTTTATCTGCTGCTGGGAATGGCGCTAATTGCCATGTGTTTCAATTTAATGCAGGTGAGCTCGAATACTCTATACCCTGCATTTTCTCTATTTATGTACATATTGAAAATTTTGTTGTATTTCAGGAACAAGTCATTCATAATATGCGTGCTATAAAGCGTGGTTTCAAGGCCTGCTTCCGTTGCCGCAGCTCGTAGCCAAAGATCAAGATTTGTTGACGTACAAAAATTATTAAACAACAATTACGTTAATTATAGGTTAAAAATTATCTAGTTTCGTAGTTGTACATATATTTATATCTATTAGCAAGAATGTGTTCCTTTTTGTTTATTTATTTATTTCATTTTTTGGTATATCAATTTGTAATTCTATCCTTAAATTTTAGCTTAGTTTACTTTAGTCTCTAGTCCTTAACAATACGAAATTAGAATTCTAAATACTGCTGCCCGTTGGCCATTCCTCGAATTTGACTATGTTTTATATGACTTACACCATTTAAATAGATATGTATAAATAATAAATAATTATGATTTGTAGAATAAACATATATATATATTTGCCCCTTTTATAATCGATGCACATTGTTTTAGATTGTATTGCAGATAATGAACTAAATTCTCTAATTTACAGCAGTCAGGCATGAGCTAAATTATTATTTTTTTCATCAACCGTCTTTGCTCAGACTTTGAAGATTTAAATATTACATAGGCTCTGACTGTATATATAAATTTAGTTCATTTCATTTTTAGATCTTTTAATTTCTTTGGCATCAACTATATTCTTATCCTTTTCACCAACCGCTTTCGACAGTCTTGTAACGAAGTATGTGCTAAAATCTTGCTATATTCAGCAACCTCACTGCATTAACAATATTTCTATTCTTTTCACCAACCGCCTGTGGTTTGTTTCTGACGATTACATACTGCAGGGTGTGCTAAATTGTTTTCCTTTCCAGCAACCACGTGTGACCCGAATTGTGCTATTTTTTTTTTCTCAAATTTATACTGTTTTATAATGATCTAAATTTTTTTTAAAGCAATATAATATAACTGTAGCAGGATCTACATTCGTTTTCTTTTGAGTTGCACTTTCTCTGATTTGGACATTTGCTTATCCAGCCGCTTCGCCTTTGCTATTAACGACCTGACCTGACGATCGTGCTCCAATGGGCGCGTGCCGGATAGCTCCGCGTAGCTGGGCAAAGCTTCCGAGTACTTCTCTACGCAAGCTTCTTTAAATTGCTTGGTCAGCTTGACAGAGACGTGACTGTGGCCCATGGAGGTAAGCATATCGAAGGCGGTGCCCTTCAGTGCGTCGAACTGTTGCCGTGTCTTGCCCGTCACCTGCTTACGGCGTATTTTTGTTGTCGTTATAGGTGTCGCTGTAATCTTCGTATACGTATGCTTGGGCAGAGACTTCTTCTGATCAACAATTAGCTTACGACGACGCAGCTCCAGTTTCATGCTGGGACTCGGCGGCTTTGTCGACGATACCTTTGTCAGTTTCTTCTTTCTCCAGGCAAGCGGAGACTTCGGATGGGTGACGCTGGCGCTGCTGCTGCCACCGCCGCTGCTGTTGTTGCTGTCCGTGGTATTCGGCTTGCGTCGCGAATAGGTGCGCATAGGTGGGGCTTTGTGCATGAAGTTACATTGAGCAAAGTCTGGGCTCTTTGCGGACGAACTCAAACTGGAAGTGGATGGAGGTTCAATAACATTAAACGAATCCTGGGTCACAGTTCTGTTGGTGTAGGACTCCAGCGCCAGATTGGGGACAGTTGATGTGGACGAGGTTTCGAGAGCATCCAGACAAATGGGCGAGGGCGTAGGCAAGGCAGCCATCTGGCCAGTTCCAGCTGGTACTCTGCAGCGCACTTGTTCGGGCGTCATCTGCATCGACAGATTCTCCTTGTCAGCCCTGCTGATCGCTCGCTCCGATGAGCTGCTGGATGAGGGTGTGCTCCTAGCCAATGGCGTCGTCTTGCTGGCAACGTGTGGCTGACAGTTTAATCTCTTGGCCGCGCCAGCTGCAATACCAGCAACGATTTTAACATCGCCCAATTTGGACGCGGGCAGAATCAATTGGCCCGTTTGTACATTGGCAGCCGCAGCATTGCAGCAGCGATGATTCGGTATTATGTTCTGGAATGTTATGCGGCCTTTGATGATTTGTGGCATAAAGAGCTCGCTCTCGAATCCGACACAATCGACCAACACCACATTATTGCCGGAGAGTAGCTTAATTTTGAAATTCAATGCAGTGTTTGGCGCTTGGCTCGGCATAGTTATTGTTGCTGTTTTTCGTATTTGTTGGTGGATGGACTTTGTAAATAACGGCGTGTGGCGAACTTTAAATAAAATTTACGTAATTGTGTAAATATTGAAACAATAATAACACCCCGAAGGAATAATTATAATATAACTACATTTGACAAGTAAAACGTGTTAGATATAATTTCTAGCAGTTTGTTGTTATTTGTCGGCGTCGATAGTAGCGTAGTTCGAAAATAATCGATATGACCAACATCGCATAATAATCGATTATAGATCGTTTAAAACATGAATCAGGGCTGCACAGTCCCCGTATGTTCAATTGGACAGGAAGTTATTTTGCTTTAGTATTCAAAATTTATAAATTTAAGCAGTAAAGATATTTTAAATGAAATTAAGTTGAATTCTAGAGTCACAAAACTTATATTGATTTAATTTAGAATTTATTATATTTTAATTTAAAGTTATCATATTCAACTCATCTTAGATAGAAATCATGAAGCAAAGTTTTTTTTTTTTATTTGCTGCAAAAATTTGTGTTTGGAAGCTGAATCCATAGTTTGGATTTGGTAATATAAACAATGGAAATGTCCCGCGATATTTCTACTAATTGTTGTTGCGTCATTGAAACTCTTGACTGCCATTTGTTCGAAATGCCGGCAAAGAGAGTAGAAAACTAAACCAAAAAAACTGTAATTTTGTGACGCTATCTCCTCTCTCTCTCTCTATTTCGCTCTCTGATGTGCGTACATACATACATACATAGAAATAGCACATTTATGGGCTTGGTTTTGTTATTGTCGGCTATAATGTTATGATTTCAGAATTTCCCAAGTCTTTGACATAAAAGCATATTTTGAACGTTTTCCCTCAATATTTTTGTTTGCCAGCGCAGCCCATCATTTATTGTTGTGGTTCTATATCCATGGAAAATATCGACACCCACTTTTATACATATGTATGTACATACATACATACAAGTGTAAATATATGTAAGTAAATTACATACATATGAATGTACATACATATGTATTTCTAAATTATTTCTATAAAAATTATAATCGTTAAGGTCCCTGATATTTTGGTTTTCTGTGAACGAAACCCGGCATTTATTGTTGTGGTGACACCCACAATTTTATATATATGTATATACATACGTCTGTACGCAATGCATAGTTAAATATGTATATATGTATGTATGTATGTACGTTTAGAAACGAATGGACATGTGATCGCACATTTTCATGTTAATATGAAATACAAGTTACAAATAATACAAATAATATACATATACACATATGAAAGCTGCATTAGTATGTATGTATGTACATGCATTCCTGTGTATAGATGTACATATGTAATATACACATGTACATACATATGTATGTATGTAAGTATAGTTATTAATTGGCTCCTTTTTTGTTGCTAGTGTCGCTTATCTGAATTTTTCATTAACTTAGTGTGTATGCACATACATACATATGTACATATGTACATATGTTCGATGTATCGATCGAAGAGTCTTCCACCAAGTAAAATGACTCACTAAAATATAGTGCTTAGAACTTGCAAGTTGCAACAACAATATCACACACTGCCCTCTTTCCACTACTCTCTCTCTCTCTCTCTCTCATTTGGCTACTTTTTCGAGTACTTTTTCGAAATTCAATTTCATAACGCTCGGGTATAAAAGCTGCCGGCATATTAGAGAGAACTTCAGTCAACTACGACCAGCACAAGGAGCAGCAACATTCGCCGAGACTTATTGGCTTTGTTCGCTGTCGCAATTTGCTTTTTCATCAACAACAACAAGGTGTGTGATAATCGTTAGCAATGGCGACAACTATCCAGATGACCAATGAGCAACTTCACGCGCTCATCGAGGCTGTTCGTTCGTCGGCGGTTAACGCAGCCGGCAATGCCGCTGCTGCTACTAGCGAAGCCTCAAAGACAAAAGGAAGTTTCAGCGCCTGTACGCACAAATTCGGCGGTACTCGCAGCCACGACGAGGTCGAGGAGTTCATCACAAATATTGTCACCTACAAGGAACTGGAGGACATCAGCGATGAGAATGCCTTGAAGGGCATATCCCTGCTTTTCTGTGGCATTGCATCCACCTGGTGGCAGGGCGTACGCAAGGAGGCAAAGTGCTGGAACGATGCCATCAGCCTTATTCGCGAGCACTTTTCGCCCACTAAGCCGGCTTACCAGGTCTACATGGAGTTCTTCGAGAAGAAGCAGCCCGACTCCGTTGCCATCGACACCTTCGTGGTCGAGAAACGTGCGCTGCTCGCCCAACTGCCGGAGGGACGGCACAACGAAGAAACCGAACTGGACTTTCTCTATGGCCTGCTCAACATCAAGTACCGCAAGCACATTCCTCGCCAAAATATCTCAACATTCCGCGATCTGCTCGAGCAGGGCCGCATCATTGAACACAACGACCTGGAGCAGGTTGAGGCGCAACCAAAGGGACCGCTACGCGGCGCTAATCGCGTTGAACGCTGCACCTACTGCAATTTCCGCGGTCACACGTTCGAGGTCTGTCGCAAGCGGCAGACGCGGGATCAGACGAATGCGGCGAACTAAACATCACACACACGCACACGCAATAAACGGGACATGACATCATCGACATCTACAACAACAGCAACATGCGCAGGGCGCATATTTGGATGCCTACGTCAATGTCTCTCTCTCACCAATTCTCTCACATCAAAACTCACTTTGTCAGCTGGCCTCACATGGACACGAGGAGAGTGGAAAATGACAACATCGAAGAACAACAGTTGCGCACTCAGAAAGCTCTAGCAGCTTTTTGCCTATGTCAGTTTCTGACTCTCACTCAGCATCAAGTGGCGTGCCGGCCAGCAAAGCAGAGCTAAAATAACGGCATTTCGATGTCGCATACACTTCACGCCGAAACTTCGGCTCAATTTGGCTGTGAACGCCAGCTTAAATGATTTTTCGTGATTACTAATCACAACTGGAACTCTACTACAAGCGGTGAACTTGTTCACCAACCCTCGAGCGGCAGGAATTGAAGAACAGGTTAGCGCACGCATTTCGCCCCTAGGCTAAGTCGTTGAGCGGCGTGTGGCGCAGCCAAGCAGCGACGCTTGCTCGTGCATTGCTTATCTCTGCAGAGTTCTTCGGAACTGTGCAGTCGATGAGCTTTGTGCGCGGCCAGCGTCGTTGCCTGTGCTACGTTTGCGTCGGCTCAACAACTCGGGCCGTGATGGGTGTTTCGTGTGCTTTGCTTTTCCCCTTTTCTTGTCGCTCAAAACCCGCTGTCTTGACCTAGTGTCTGCGCAACGTAGCTGTGGTGCCGTACGCTGCGTTCAAGCAGAGGGCGTGAAGCTTCGCTGGCTTCGGCCAGTGGATCTATGCGCTGCTCACTTGTCGCTTAGTTCGAAACTACAGCTGCTTTCGCGTCGATCCTTCTTCAATGCAGCAAAAAAAAAAACACGTCCATGGGAAGACAACGCAGTGGCTTTTGTGTGTCGCAAGCTTCGAGGAGCAACTCCACGCCGCTGCTCAGCTCTGGCAGCGCGCTGCGGTTTACTTAGGGTGCGTTGCTGTAGTTCGCTTCGGCGCGCTGCAGCAGCTCGCTTTGGTGAACTGTAGCGCTGCTGCTAACTGGGTTCGGCTTGAAGTTGTGGCCTTTGCTGGTTGCTTCTGCACGACAGCCGCTGCTGAGGCTTGGTCATGGGCAAACTTTCATTTTCTTTTACAGAAAATCGAAAAAAACAACCAAACTTTTTAAACCGACATTTTTAATGTCAAACAATGTATTACATCGCACTACAATGGCTATGCTCTCGCCATTCGTGCGGTTGGCACGCTAAATTATCAGGTACCGGTGGCAGTTCCTTCCTTGGAACTGCACTTCCCTGGTAAGCGTTAGGCACGCCAGCTCTCTCACACACACACTAAACCGGGGCTTCCGATTCGTCGCTCCTTGCCGCTCCAGATTGTGGCGACTGTCGAGGAGCTCCACAATGTTGCAAGTGCAGTCTCTTGTGCAGAATCCATAGGCGCGTAGTGCCATTCCTAACAACGTCTGTGTCTCACACACCATGGTACCCGCTGCTCTGCCGCGTGCGCCATCTTTTTTGGAGCACATTGGCCAGTCATATCGTAGCAGACGCGGCGGTCTGCGTTTCCCGATGAAGTGTGCGCGATGTCCAACTCTTCGGCATTCGCATACTCTTCAAGCTGGGGGCCTATCGACGACCACAAGAGGCTGCAATCAACACAAAATCATCAACATTAACCCAGAAACTGAGATCATCTCAAACAAATACAAAAAAAACCTACTCAAACCAAATTCTCAATGTGTTTTTATATGTGACATTGTGGGCGGGGTGTTTGCATTTCAGTTCTCAATATTTCAGAAATCCGAAATTAGAGAAGATCGCGCCAAGTCGGTTTTCAAATTTACAGCTGAAAAATACAAGGGCTTTTTTTTTAATTTTTATTTTTTTTTAATTGTGTATGCTCTTCTCATTTTTTATTATTATTAAAATATAATTTTAAGTAAGCATATAG